ACCCTACACACTAAACCCTATATAATCCCTTACATACCCCCCTTTAAGCAGTTTAGGCTACAGGTCATATACTCCTTTATAAACCCCAAAACTCTAAACCTCATATAGCCCTGCCTCTCTATCGCCTGCAGTAGCATCTCCTGAACAGAGATGAAGAGGTCTGATCGTAGGCAGCTTATGTTTCCCTACACGGTTTAGGGTTTAGGGTCCAAGTACTCAAATAGTAGGTACAAATGATTGTTGAGCCCAAATGGGTTCCTATATAAGTACTTCGGGCAGCAGGATGTTGGGTGTAAGTGATTCACTAACAACGTCTTGCTGGGGATCCATTTGCTTTCGCCATTCATTTCTTGTAGGTCTTCATCTGTTCATTTAGGTCTGAGGGACTCGATCTCCGAGCCTGCTACTCCTACTATTCCTATTACTACTGCTAACGACTATTACTATTACTACTGTTACTGCTAGTATAATTACGACGACGACAACTACTACTACACATGCCTGTAACCACATACCTGTCAGCACAGTAGTCTTGGCCTCTTCAGCCACCAAGAACCAGCAGGATTGCGAACTTAGCAACGAAAAACTAACTCGTGTCATTCGGATTTTGACGCTACTCCCTTAACCTAAGGCACCGACAATCCAAGCGCTGTTGAAGCTTCCACGTAATGTTCCATGTGCATTTGCGTTTGATGCTGCAGTATTGGGAAAGAGTCTATATGACCCCTATATAGGGCCTACTGTTGATGGATGAAATCTTGCACCACCTAGGGGCCCTAAACTACTGTAGTTGCTAGGACTTTAGAGCTTAAGGTGGTGCAAGATTTCCTCCATCAATGGTATGTCATCCCTACTTGTATATGTATACCCTACTAGCTACATAAAGTCTTAGAATCTCCTGACCCTCCGGGCCGTCCTTCTCTGAGGCGCTCTCGCACTCGGCGCTCTGTAGGTCAAGGGTAGAGATGGCAGAGCTGACCTGTAGGATTCAAATGGCCATGTTTTCCGGTTCGGGTGCTTGTCTTGTAGGGCTCTTGGCTCAGGGGATTGGAGTTCCAGATTAGGAAGCCCTCCGCGCAAGTCAAAGAAGATCAAGCTTGGCTTTTAGTGCTTGAACCTCTCCTGGATCATGCCGGGGCGTGGCACATGCACCAACTTGCATGCAAACCATCATAATATATGGCTGTAGCCACACGCCGTGCACTACAATGCCAGTATCAAGGGAGAGTTGCCAACTTTGCATGTCTCAAGATTGAGAAGCGCAAATGTAGATGTCTTTCATCCATTCCCTGGCCCTACCCTGCTGACGCTGCTACGGCCGCCAACCCTACAAACACGCGTTCTACAGGCACTGCGACTGCCAGCACTAATCACTCCTCTGGCAACGACCTCACAAACTACACCCACCACTACTGGACGCTGCCTTCTGTGAACCCTACTCCTGTAGCACCGCCGGCCTTCAGAATGTAGCTGATGGGCATCCCGCCCGTGCCCTCGCTCAAAAGCCCTTGGGGTGAGCAGAGCTTCAAGGCCAAGGAACCTGGGATGGAGCGGGAGTAAACGTAGTTGTGGTCAGTACACTTGGGCTTCAGAACCCTAAACCCTAAATTGCTTTGAATTAATGCCCCTTAGGTGAGGCTTCGAGATGGAGGGCATGCTTACACAGGAGAATCCTCGTTTCCCCAAACTCCTGAAAGGGGGTTGTATAGGGGATTATATTGGGGAGTATTCTAAGGGTTACTAAGGGGGATACTAGGAGTTTAGACTACAGCTGATTTGAAATTTGGGGTTTAGGCCCAGTGATTTGGTGTCAGTTCCCCACTGTGCTGTCTCGGAACGTCCAGATCCACGCACTTGCGCTGCCAGCACGATCTCATGAAGGCACCACCTGATGAGAAAGGCACCGGTCATGCAGTGAAACCCTTAGTTTCCTGATCCTCCTTCCCACTGGTACATACTCCAATATTGCATCATTATGTACAGGGAGTACTTTGTATTCAGGGGGTTGGGAGGCTATCAAGGGGGCAGGGATGATTTTAATACCCGGGCTACGAAAACTTGACAGCCCCCCCAACACCTACGTACCTAGCTGCCATTTCATGTTCCATTCCGTGCTATATTTGATTCTCCATTATTGAGGTAATATCCCTAAACCCTACGCCCTAGGTCCTAAACCCTCAACCCTTAATGGGTATAGTTGGAACATAACCCTTACATACCCCCCTATATCATTGGGATAGTGTAAGAGAACTTGACAGCCAACACAGGCTCCTCAGCCCCAAGCAGTCTCCGAAGGCTCTGGGCGTCTGTGCCAAGGACCAAAGCAAAGCCTTATGCAGGATTTTCTCGAGCTTAGCGTTTCGGATGGTTTAGGGTTTAGAGCCCCAGGGACATCACAGATAAGGGGAGGTTATGGGGGTCCTATGTGCTCCTTAGATGAGATTGACATCGATTTGATTGATCACAATATGACGATACGAAATATAATGGGGTCTAAATTCAGAGGTCGGGGTTCCCAAAACCCTCATGGTATGATTCGGTCTCTGCCTCCAGCTATTTCCCTTGTATTGTAGCCGGAGACCCTTGAGATCATGCAAAACCTGTATAGCTTGGTCCTTCAATAGGTCCCGAAAAAAGTACGTAATGCGTCAGACACTTTACCTCCACAACCTCTTGCCTTGTTCCGAAGAACCTTATTGCAATACAAGTCCCACACAGCCCACCCATGAACCCCCGTACATAGGACAGAACCGCCAAGAAGGACCCCTTCAAAGGGAATGTGAGGGAACCCATGCAGGAGTTCTTAGAGGGTCTGTCCTGTTTGGGGTCCTTGGGAGCTAGTGGAGAGGCATGGAGAAGCCTACTATTCCCTGCTATTCTTATACATGGCTGCTACAGCTACAAACTAGATTACAACCCATAACCTTGTTCTTATTCGAAGGGCCCATACAACACCTGACTAACTCCAAGAGGAAGTGGCATTGGCAGCTGCGGCTCTTGAGCGCACTCCCAGGCAAAGAAATCCGGTCGTCATCCCGAACAGGCGACCTGGGGAGCTTCTGAACGTATTACCATGATTACTATTATTACTATGATTACAGTACTGTAATCGCTAAAATTACTATTATTGCTATTATTACTACTATATAAGTACGATTATTACCATTATTGCTGTTATCACGATGATTACTATTACCCCTTTTGTTTTTTTGGGGGGGCCCTCGAAATGAATTGGGAGGTGTGTACTCCGTCGAGCCGCTCATGTTGACATCAGGGTGGAAGTGGCTTGGGATCTGGCAGCTTTGGCTCAAAATAGGGGACCCCAAAATACTATGGTCCTTGTTATGGGGACCCGCCAAACAAAGGATTCCTAATTTTGGGAAACCCCCATTGAGGGTTTAGGCTCAGGGTTTCTGTCAGGGGTCTGGTTTACTCCCCTGTGGTTTTGGAGAT